ACAACTTAGTTTTTGACAACTCAGTTTTTAACAACTGTAGGCCGCCATTATGTGTTAATTCAACTAGTTACCATTCTCTCTCGACCAAAGTTAGAAGATTCTCCCCAGTTCACATCGCGATTGGGACGGTGTTTGCAACCTCTGAAAACCCTTGATATCTAACATTAGACTAACAAGTCTAGCAATAGTCCATTTCTGAATTACCCTTAGCCTCTTTTTCAAAACGAGGTCTGGTGCTCACATTCTTGTGAAAATGAGTTTAATTTGCATGTGAATGAAAACTTATAATCATATGATGAGCACCAGAACGCATTTTGAAAATGAGGCCAAGGGTAATTCGGAAATGGGCTATTATTCGCCGTGGGCGAAGTGAATATTGTTGAATAGTTCCCGAGACGAAGTCGAGCGCATTATTCAACAATATTCAATGAGCCTAAGGCGAAAACTTGTTTAATCATAATTGCTCCGGTGCTTTCAAATGCCATTGTAAATTCATTACTCGAATCGAGATGAGCCGCCAATTTCTGCTTGAATATAACAGGTTTATTTAATCCAATCAGTAAAATCTTCATGTCTTTCTTTTAACAAGTGTTACCCCAAACTTAAAAGCATCTTTTGAGCTCTTCGGAATTGTATTTTCTTATATTACGTTTGTCCCTTCCTCTGTAACATTGACAAAACGCGAGGCTGCCATTTTGAAATTTAGAGCCCCTGCCATGATCACCCTGCGCGAGGTGATTATTGCGAGATATGACGCAATTATCGTCCATCTCTTATCACCGTAGCAGTAGTATGCTAATTATCCCTAGTTTCACTCGGAGAACATTTTGCGTCGCGGGTAGGTTTGTAAACTAACTCCCGGGGAAACTGACGTCACAGAGCCTGAATGAGATCAGGATGGATGGGAAGAGGTGAAATACTGCGACGACAGTTACAATGAGTTTTGAGAAGGAGCTGAATGAAAGCGAACAAAAATCAGCAAGAAGCCAGAGGCCATTTTTAACTGAGGCCTCAATGCAAACAATATCATCCGTTTAAAATGGTTGAACGAAACAGGAAGTGAAAATATCGTTTATGCAGCTAAGGACCTAATTATCGCCGGGGACGGGGGATGCGGCGGAGAAATTTTGTGAGGGTCCGCATTGATTTTAAGGTGAACGCAGGGGGACCATGCAGTCGTCGCCTTCAGGTATAAAGGGGACTGGGGACTATAAAGCTAGTCGAATATATATGGGGTGAAGAGGAAAGAAAATTCAGTGTCTTTAAATTCTGCTTTAATTTAATTGAAG